TTTTTTTTAAGTTAATTTTTATGCTTAAAATAAATTTTAGTTAATTTTATATGAATTACGTACAGAGTGGAAAAAAATACGTTCATATTTAAAAAACTTGGTGTTTGTGTTTTATTTATAGTCCAAGGTTTAAAGTTTGGAAAAATTTACAAAAAATAAAATAGAAGTTCTAGAAGAGTTAGGCAGAATTTAATTAATTTCAGATTATATTTCTAAGTGTACACCATAAATTGTGCATAGTTTATTGTAGATATGTTTCATATATTTGTGAGTTCGATGGAGAATGTGACGAGATCCAAATAGATTTAGTAGATGAATCGTAGCAGCTTGGTTAACTCGGTTTCTGAGTGCTGATATGATAGATATCTCAGTTTTCTAGAGATTTCTCGACATCTAGGGAACACGAATAAGTTTCCGTAGTAGGCAGATCAACTGGGTATCCATAAACATCATCAGTATCTGAGTCTATGCACACTATATACTCATCCAAGGCGTATGTATAGGGATAGAATTATGTACATGTACGTATATATGAAGAATGACAGCTATAATTATATCAGATCTCCTTAATAGATATGTGCGAATCTATCTATGTCCTAGCGCGCCATCAGCAGGTGCATCGCATCTATTCAATTTTCCAATTGAATGTGAGTGTGTTGCATGTTTACAGCGTGTCTCAGTTAAAGCTGATGTTTGAGTGTGTGAATTGATTCGCAGCGATTCGATTGTTGATTCAGTTCGGGACCTGTGAATACTGCGAGTGCAGCCTGAATGGTGGCAGCAACAGCCAACAGGAACAACAACGAGAACAAGAACAATCCTTGATAACTACAGCGACGTGTCTAGCATCGCAATATAGCCAGCGGATTGCGTATACGCCACGTGTGCTGCGTGCACTCATTCACTCCAGCAAGCGCACACACAGACACACGCACGCACGCAGAGCACACACATTCACTTCGCAGCTGAGTGGCCCATTAAAGTTGCACTCTGAGCTCTTTTCTAGTTTTTCATCCATTTCTTGTTAGCTCTCAAGTCGATTTTGCACTTCATCTGTTGGCCAAAGACGTTGCCAAAAGGCCATGGCAGCTATCAATGCTGCTACACAAGTGCCACGCCCCATTTGCCGAGCGAGTCAAGGCTGGCCGAAAAAGCAATTCCCAATTTTTTCGCCACGAAAAATGTGCACCAAAGTTGGGTCTAAGGCATACACTTAGAAATAGATCTAGATCAGAATTTTATTCAAGGTCGATAAAAATCGATAAATGTCGTTTGAGTTTTCTGATCAAAAGTCGAAAACTTTAAGAGCTGTCACCATAGTTGGGTTTCAGGCATATATCACATAGAAATAGATCTAGATCTGAATTTGATTCGAGGTCGATAAAAATCGATAAATATCGGATGGGCTTTCTGATCAAGAGACGAAAACTTGAAGAGATATCACCAAAGTTGGGTCTAAGGCATATAGCACATATAAATAGATCTATATCTGAATTTGATTCGAGGTCGATAAAAATCGATAAATATCGGATGGGCTTTCTGATCAAGAGACGAAACCTTTAAGAGCTATCGCCAAAGTTGGGTCTAAGGCATAAGCACATAGAAATAGATCTAGATCTGAATTTGATTTGAGGTCGATAAAAATCGATAAATTTCGTTTGAGTTTTCTGATCAAAAGTCGAAACCTTTAAGAGTTATTACCAAAGTTGGGTCTAAGGCATATAGCACATAGAAATAGATCTAGATCTGAATTTGATTCGAGGTCGATAAATATCGGATGGGCTTTCTGATCAAGAGACGAAAACTTGAAGAGCTAGACACTGCGCAGTTGGCCTGCAACACATGCGATGCTTAATAAGGACAAGAAATATTTCCGTTTCTTGAATATCTCTTCTATTGCATTAGAGTATCAGCCAGTCACATATTTGCCACCAGCTCAGCTCAAGCGTTTTTTTTTAGCTTTTTTCTCAGCAGTAAACAAATTTGAAACACTTTGTTAGACGCGTCAGCTATAGCAGCTATACCTATATATATATATATTTAGGGGCAGGTGGCTCGGGCTTCCCCCGTCCTCCGCTCCTCACCTGTGCCGCTTACCTGTGCAAACAGCCGCAAATAAATCGTTCGACATTTATAAGCCAGTCAAAGTTATGCTGAAATTTGTGTATTACGTGGCAAAGGGCTGAGCTGGGTGACAGTAGTTGGACGCGGGGGAGGGGGGCTGCCGCGCTGCGGGCGTGGTTGGACAGGTGCTCTGTGTGTGGGTGTGCGTGTGTGTGTGCCTTTGACGCCGGCCTCAAAGTCAGGCTAAAAATAAGATAAATTGTGTGGCTGTAGTCAATGGAGCTGTTAACTTACGCACCTGCTACTCCCATAGAGCTGGCTTTATGTGGAAGTGGACGTGGACGTGGATACGGATGTGAGAGTGGACTGGGAAGTGCAAGGGTTGCGATTGATTCGCACAGCCAAAACAGAGTCGCCCTGCCACCCGCTCAGCTGCTGGGCATCCACATTGCCCTGCAAACAGTTTCCATTTCCATTTTCGCTTTGTTGTTTCGCATTGCGTAGTTCGCAGCTTTTATTTTGTTTTGTTTTGTTTTGTTTTTGGGGTCGCACTTTAATGGAATCAAACGAAATGACATTGATCGCTGAAGGCCATCCAACCGCCCACACACACACACACACACACACACACATGCACACATATGTACACTCTGCAGCCTGCTTCAAGCGAAGATCAACAGCAATGCGAACGCACTTCCACATGTATTTGTTTCCATATACCCCAATTCGACACCCTAGACGCATTGTAAGTGTGTCAGCGGGGTATATAGGATTGGATGCAGGCGTATGTAGGATGTTATGGAATGTGTGAGAGGAAGATGACAGCGATTGCTATTCATAGATGGGCTGTTCATATTCGAGGGACTCGCCTGGCAGCCCAGCTCTATAATACTAATATTCCTGTTTTGGTATATATCTTTCGAGCAGTAAAGGGGGCCACAGTCTACAGGGTATCTGATGGTCAGGCAGAGTCAGTCCTGGCAGTCTTACTTGTTGTATCTGCATCTATCGCCGTAGCCGTATCTGTATCTGGGATTTGGGTCGTGGTCGTTGTGCGTTGATTGGGCTTGTTAGATTGTTTAGATGGATGCGTTTATTGTTGGGCGGGCGCGCGCGTTCGCATTGCCGGACTTCACTTTCAATGCTGATTGGCAAATTACAGCAATTTCTGTATGAAATTAGATTATTTCGAAATAGTTATAAACAAATTAATTGCGCATTACGCACCGCGACTGTCCTCCCCTCCGCTGCAATTTCAACTGCAAAAAAGAGAGAGAAACAAAATGTGCAGCAAAAGTGCGTGCAAAGTATGTGAGCGATGCATGGGCCCCAGTGATTTGCTCTTTGCTTTTCGGCTGAGGCGAAAGAACTTTGCAGTAAGTAAATTCCAAAATGAACATTCACTTTGTAGCTCCAGTCGATGAATTCCACAAGGGCAGCAGAATAAGTCAAATTCTAATCCAGCAACTTGTAAATGCCTCAAGTCTACTTGAGTCTGCTGGCGGTGCGAGGGAGCATTGCGAGTGTGTTGGGAATTTGAAGTGAAATTCACATTGTGATTGACAAAGCGCAAAATGCTTTTTATAAATAGCACAATAAAGTATCCACAAATTATGAGAAACAGCTCTGGCAGCCATTCGCCGCTTAAGTTGACAGCCAACCTGACAGAAAGCGAGACAGTCGGACAGCTGGATGCCTGACTGATTGACGCAGCAACAGAAAAGGTGTCAACAGCTCCATCAGATGCGAGCAGCAATTGAGATGGAGATACATTGATTGAGACGTCGAGATGTGGGTAAATCAGAGATACAGATACAGATACAGATACAGATGCAGATGCAGATACAGATGCAGATGCAGATGCAGATACAGATACAGATACAGATACAGATACAGATACAGATACAGATACAGATACAGATACAGATACAGATACAGATACAGATACAGATACAGATACAGATACAGATACAGATACAGATACAGATACAGATACAGATACAGATACAGATACAGATACAGATACAGATACAGATACAGATACAGATACAGATACAGATACAGATACAGATACAGATACAGATACAGATACAGATACNAGAATAAGTCAAATTCTAATCCAGCAACTTGTAAATGCCTCAAGTCTACTTGAGTCTGCTGGCGGTGCGAGGGAGCATTGCGAGTGTGTTGGGAATTTGAAGTGAAATTCACATTGTGATTGACAAAGCGCAAAATGCTTTTTATAAATAGCACAATAAAGTATCCACAAATTATGAGAAACAGCTCTGGCAGCCATTCGCCGCTTAAGTTGACAGCCAACCTGACAGAAAGCGAGACAGTCGGACAGCTGGATGCCTGACTGATTGACGCAGCAACAGAAAAGGTGTCAACAGCTCCATCAGATGCGAGCAGCAATTGAGATGGAGATACATTGATTGAGACGTCGAGATGTGGGTAAATCAGAGATACAGATACAGATACAGATACAGATGCAGATGCAGATACAGATGCAGATGCAGATGCAGATACAGATACAGATACAGATACAGATACAGATACAGATACAGATACAGATACAGATACAGATACAGATACAGATACAGATACAGATACAGATACAGAGCTTAGGGCTGAGGCGTGGGCTGGGTATTGCAGTTAGTCATAGATACTCACACTTACTCACAGCTATTCACAGATACTTACACATACTGTGACACACTCGGCTCTCGCCTCGGCGAGTGCTATAATTTATCAATTGTCATCAATTTAGGGGCAACTGCGGCAGCAACAGCAACAGCAACAAAACACAAACTTGTGGCATTTCTTTGCTGTCTTGGCTTTTGTCTCTCTGTATGTGTGCGTGCCTGTGCGTGTGTGTCTGTGTCTGTGTGAGTGCCTGTGTTGTTATAGGTTTCGTTAGACGTGGCGCGCATAAAGCGGATGACAGTTAAAAACGCGTTGAACATCGATGCGCTGTTGCCCGGGCACAGGCGCTGAGAGCAGACACCGACAATAACTGGAGCATGTTCGACGGGGACAGTACTATCAATGATTGTTATGCAATGGCCAAATCGATAACAACAACAACAACAACAACAACAACCAGAGCAACAACAAGAGCAACAGCATCGGCAACAGCAACAATTACTGCGATACACACACGCAAAGGCACAACGACACTCACATTTGTGTTGCTCTTAATTTTGTGCTGTCTATGTGATTACAATTATGGCAGTACGTATATCGAAACGCCTATCATCTATCGTCTATCGTCTATCGCTTATTGTTTATCAATTGTGTGCAAATTTTTGTTCAATTTTTGTTTTTGTGCGGCGCTAATTTAAAGCCTATTGAAAATTTCATCAATTATTTTGCGGCGCACGTTGCGTATGCGTAATGCAAGTGTGTGCATATGTGTGTTCAGTGTGTGTGTGTGCCTGTATGCGTGCGTGTGGCAAACCCAATTTGGCATATATAATGCCTGCCTCCGCGTATGTGTGTGTGTGCCTGCGTGTGAGTGTGTGTGAGTGTGTGTTAATGAGCGTCCAAAATGTAATTTGATGTATATGGCGCATATTACGCATACGCCATGCCAGCCTCCGCATAAATTGTTTATTATGGAGAGCAAAAAGAACTCACCCACCCACACACACACACACACACACACGCATACACATGTTTATGGCCTAAAACTAAATTCAATTTGAATTTAAAGTGGTTGAAAATTGTTTAATGGAAATGTGCGTGAAAATCAGCGACAGCAAGGACATCAGCTGTGGGCGTGAATAGTTTTTATCTCTGTTTCTCCCGCTCTCCTTCTCTCTGTAGAGCGTTTCTGTCTCGAGGACTCTAAGAGCTACAGATGCCTAACTTGGTATGCAGACTCCCAATGAAGCCATACAGATAAGAAATATCCCTTTGTCTGATCACCGTTCAATGAGACTTGGTTCAATGTGCAGACTCTCAATAGAAGTTGAGTTATTGTCTGTCAGCCTTGGTTTTCTCGGCTCTGTTCGAGATTATTGAGGGCTACAGATATCAAATGAGGTATAAGAACTCTCAATAGAAATATACAGCTGCAAACCATTCGATCTTCGATCTTCTGAGTGCCCTTCCCTAAGACTTGTCCAAGAGGGCATAGCTATCGAGTTCCAAGAGTCTGAAATCCTTCTTTTTCTCTTGACTCTCCATACTACGCACATATAGAAGTCTGCTAGTCTGCTAGTCGGCCTCAGCCGACTAGAGCGCGCTGGCTTTAAGCTCTTATTGTTGACCACTCAATTATGAGGTGGAATTGGTGTGCTGTAAACAATTGAAAACACGCTGCTTGTTGGCCTGCACTGATATACGTTGATGGTTGGGGTTACAGGCTGGGCCTCGCAGTGCTGGAAGAAGCACAACTCGGGCTCGATACAAACGCCGGATGGTGAGTTCAAGCGCCCGTTCGGCATACTCTGCACATATCGCTGCTTCCTCTGGTTTCCGCCAATGTAAGTTCAATCACACAACCGCACATCGCCCCACACCTATCAAGCCCGACCCCAACCCCAACCCCAACCCCAGCCCCAGCCGCAACCCCATGCCCCACACCCCACACCCCACACCCCACACCCTGCACCCCATATGCCATACAATTTACAATTTATGTTATTTTCAACTTGTGTGTATTGCATTTTAAAACAAAACTTGCCAAGCTGCCACCCTCGGTGGGGTCGGCGGGTGGCCAGGTTTGCTTTAGCATAACAATTAAAATAGCTGGCAGCGTCGGTATAAATATTTCAGCGTTGCAAATAATAAAGTGAGTGCACGTGTCGAGTATTTACAGCCAACTATTCTCAACTATACCAAAAGTTGGGTTCGGTTTAAGCCAAGCTGCATTATACAAACGCCATTTTTGCTATCGAGCCAGTGAAATGTTTGCATGGACTAAGCTCTTAGCTCATAGCTTACAGTTCAAGGCATTTCCAATGTGATTAGCCTAGTTTTATTCCAGGCAGACTAAAGTGTAATTCTCTATTTCATTTACTGTTCAATCAGTCAATCAATTCATCAGGTATTCCATCATCCAGTCTAATTGACACGTGTGCATTCAAGTGAAATTCAGCTACTGCTGCAGATAAAGCTGACTACATGAGTCTAGTCTGTTGAGCATCAATCAGTCAGTCATTCAATCATTCAGTGAGCGAAGCGCAAGAGTCATAAGAGATAGATTGAGGCTTGCTTTAGTTTAGCTACATTCAGTAAATTAGCATGTCAATCATCAAACGTCATTCTTTCAGTCAATCGTTGATTCAATCAAAGTTTAAGTGGAGGATATCAACTATCATTAGAAATGAATATCAATCAATTAGACAATCAATCAAATATATAGACTTTGGCTTCATGAGAGTCAGCCACCGCATTCAATCAGACACCCAATCAATCTCTCATTCAAGCAGCCTATCACTCAGTCAAGCAGTCTTGTATATTTTGTAGGCAACAGTGAGCCAATAAGTTTGTCAAGTAGTCAATCAATCAATTGCAATACAGTCAACTTCAGTAAGTTAGCTAGGCAGTGCGTCAATCAAATCAATCTCTTTGTATATTGAAATGCATACATACATCATTTACATATATTTATTGATTCATCTCTAATCTGAACTTATTCCAAATACTAACAGCTATCCGTATTGCGAGTTCATCTTTGATTTGCGCTTGTCGAGGCACTTCACATCGTTTCCGGACTGCTATGAGATACGCTGTAATGAGACGTTTACGTTCTTTGGCAGCGAGCCCAACTACTGATCGTCAGCCTGGTTCCTGCTCTTGCCCAACTATCGATAACTCAAGTGTATTGCATATGCATATGCGAGGTAGAAATATGGATATAAAGAGTGTTCCAGCTATGATATGATTGTATATCCTGTGGAATTGTGTTATTGATAGTTCTGCAATTATATTATATCTAATATAAAATGTTATTTTTTTTCCTAACTTTAATTTGTATGCATTAATAAATATTTACTGAAAGTAGCAACGATTTTTACTTTAACAGATAACTGATCGATATTTATCGATAGATTTCTCATGTTAAACTCCTTTATTTCAAGGCTAATCTGCGCTGAAGACAGAACATAATCATGAAAACTCTGCCTTTCTCTATCTAGAAATGGTATCAGATCAGAATGATCAAATTGATATAAATTTTACAGTTACAGAAATAAGTCGATTTACTTATCGACAAATTCTCAACTCTTTGCTCGGAATAAATGGTCAAACATTGAGTAAATGAGCTACTTGAACGTGGAATTAGAGTATCAAAGGCAATCGATAGTTCTCTCCAGCTGCTCTATATACCCTGGCATAACTAAGGAGAGCTTTTGTTGAATAAATAGCATGATTCAAGAATTTATGGAAATACTTTTGATGAGGCCGTGGCAGTCGGGTGAGGAGGAGGAGGCGGAGGGGCACAGAGCTGGAGGAGTTGCTTACGGTACCTGCCGTTTTAGATTGTTTACAGTAAGTAGTCGAGCATCCAGCCGCCAGGAGTGGCAGTGCGCAGTGAAGCCTATTGCCAGCTGGAGCTGGCATGGACAGGAATGTCCATTAATTTGCGACGACCTGCTGGCAATTTCCTCTGGCAGCGCCTTTTAGTTGGTTTATTTCCGCCGAAAACTGTTTGCTTGTCCATAATAAAGAACAAGCTGGCGCCGTATAAACAAAAGTGCCAGACAAAGCCGCCGCGCAGACAAACAAAACAAGCCAAACAAACAAACAGCCAGCCAGCCAGCCAGGCAGACAGACAATCAGACGGACATACAGCAATCCGAACAGCCGAAGCATAGAACAACAAACTCGGAAATTCTATCCGCAAAAATTTGCATAAAAATTAGCATTCTAATTGACATGAGGCCCGACAAAATGAAGTAACCAGGCGCAGAGACCAGTTAAGCTCTCGCTACCCCTCTCCCATTCTGTCACCCCCCTCCGCGCGCTCTCTTTCTCCTTGCGCCTTTGTCTTGGCTTTGGTGTGGAGTTAATTGTTTGTTTAGTGTCATGAAAATACAGTTTACGCCTTTCGCAACAACACGTGCAGACGCGGCCACAATTACAGATGCGTTTGGCTCGGCCTCACACTCACGGCTCGGCTGGCAGATACCCTGTAGGCCAAGTCTCCATATGCAGTTGATAAATGTCAAAATTGATGTATGTAAAAAGTTGAGCAAACAGGTAGAAAATATGCCAAAGTTATTTTATGTATTTTGCATACCCATTGTGAAAAGTGTATGCTTGAGTGGGTATATTGTATTTCTTACAGGTAGATTGGGTCGGTGCCTCTCTGTCTCGCTTCTTTAAAGAGACCTCTCTGTCTTTCATTCATAGATCTCTAGATATCTCGCTCCCTAGCCTAATCCCTCTCTCACTCTCGTCGTCTATATAACCCCATTGGAGCCACACTTGCACACCTACAGGGTATGCCAACAATGGCTACGTATTGGGCCACGTGCACACACAAAAGGGTCGCATCAGACAACGTTTGTCGCTGGCAGAAACTTTTAACTTGCTCAAACTTAATTGCTGGCTGCTCGTTGGGGCGCAACGTGCTTCAAATATAAGAGCCTCGCCTCCGCACCCGCCTCCGCCCCCGCCCAGAAAACATCTTCAGGATGCGAGCACAAGGATCTGGCGTCTGCTCTGCTGACCAATAAAGGGAAAGCGCTGGGGAAAGGATGCCGGGGCAGGAGGGTGGGCAGGCACTGGTTAAAGTGTTCGCTTTGTTCCCTCAGCTAGAGTTTTCATAATAAATTTTAATATAATTAAATTACTTTAAAAAATACTTGAAAACACTGCCACAGCTGATTGA